ACTTCCCATCACTTGGGTCCAGGAAAATGGGCCATCACTTTCCCAGTTATCAAGTCCAGACTTACTTCCTGTGAGAAACTTGTGGTGTCTTCTGTTCATATCTTATATACCTATGTCCTCCCCATGGAAACAACACTGGATCCCTCAAAACGTTCATTCTGTCACAATTCCATACATTTATGGCAGTAAAGCAGTGTGCTCCTGATAAGTACCATGTTTATCCATTTTTGTCCATTTCTTTTCTCTGACTTTGGAGTGGGTGCCTTTCTTTTTTTCTTTCTAATTGGATGTCATGACTACCCTCCTCCTGACTTGCCAATAGTATCAAGCCTGTTTCTGAACTTGCACACTTCAACCTTGCAAATAGAGGCACATCTTCCTCTGAAATATCTGTACCCGCCCACAAAAAGTATACAGTGTCATAACCCAGAACACCAGTCTCTGAAACCTTAAGACATCAACACTACATTGACATTGCTGATCATCTGAGAAAGACTTCATTGTATGGAGTTGCCGTGAAAGCTTAAAATCTAATACAGAAAAATATAAATCAGAGGAAACCATATAAGGGGACTGATTGATATCGACATGGGTACAGAAACATTTAATTTGAGAGTTATGGCTGAAAAAATACTGTCATAACCTATTCAGTTGTCATTTTGTCATTGTTTTGGTTAATGAAGTGCTGAGCAATTCTTTTATTTTCATAGTGCTTTTTATGGATAAGGCAGGTTTCAACACAGCATCAATGTGTAGGCGGGAATTGAAGGTGGTTGTTTGGCAGACCCACCTGTTTTGCCACATCAGCTTACAGGCAACATCGGGATTTCCTTTTACTTGATCTGCCAAAGCTACTGCAAGATGTACCACTGGCATGAATGTGGTACGTGCATGATTATGCTCTGGCCGATTTTAGCTATACTGTGCAAGATGCTCTCAACAACACCTTTCATAACCAATGGATAGTTACAGGAGGACACATTGTATGGCCTCCATGCTCACCACATTTGAATCTTCAGGATTTTTACCTATGGGGACACCTGAAAACATGTGCACCACCTGTTGACAACAAAGAGGCACTTCACCATTGCATTGTGGATGCCTGTCAGACTATCTGCAACTATTCCAGCATCTGTGAACAGATGCGGAGGACCAGGATGAGACATGTTAAAGTGTGCATAGAATCAAATGGATGATATTTTGAGCATACTCTTTCAGCTGTAACTATCAGACTAAATGTCTCCAGACACACACTGTGGAACTCGTCCCCAAAGTATATTCACACCTTTCAGTTACACTCTGTATATATGTGTATCTATATACACACACATAATATATTGTATATAGACAGGAGAACAGGACACTTCTCCCACGAATAGTTCCACGGATGTCACATTTCCACTGCTTTATACTCGAAGGCAGATCTTTGGGCTTGCAGTTCATACATATTTATAATATGCTAATTTCTAATGCCATTTGATGCTACTGAAGTCTATATAATTTTTCTCAAAAATATACGTAGTACCCAGTTTGGTGTGCAGTACAATACTGGGTTTATTCAGAAACTTATCACAAAAGAAAGTCACTAAAATAAGAATTTCTAAGCATTATGTCTTTCATAAGGTCACAGATGCAGTTTGTGCATGTGATGAAACCTGCTGTGACATGTTCAGGCATATTATTGAACCTGAAACAGTATTTTTTTTTTCCCCCAAGGAACACTGAATAGGGCTACATTTGTGCTGCCATCCCATACCTCATATTAGATCCATCTGAGGGCTCCTTTCGCAGATTGAAATAAGATATTCTAAGCTATTGATTGGTATAATCATCAGCATATACTGTCAGGGATTTCCCCCTACAGTCCTTATTGCTATGTACCCCTTCCTGTTGCAACAAAGCATTATTTCAGTATATCCTCTGTATAAATGCAGGTAGTTCCAAAAGTTTGTGTGGAAATAAAAGTTGTAACATTTTGGTAGAATATGAAGGCCTGGTCCACAGTCATTTGGAAGGTGAAGGTGAATTTGATACCAGTGACAGCTGTTCAAGTCATATTGATGACATTGCCCTTGGCAAAGAGATGGTGAGCGAAACTGACATCAAGGTAGACGGGGGAAGAAATGAGGTGTTTTGAGTCCTAATATGTGAACAGGTATGTCAGGCGAAAAGAAGCTTTCTGTAATGTTCCCAAACCCCAAAAAAATGTAAACTATGTTAGATTTTGGGATTGTTCTTGAGTTGCATTTAGTAGGGGCAGGATTTATTATACTCCTGAAGAACTAACAGGTATGCACAGGCCGCGCCATAGCTCAAGCAGTTATTCTATTTGCCGGATTACCACCACGGCAGCTCAGGTTCAATTCTGGGTCTGGTCAAGTGGGATTTGTTTAGGGCAGGCACAATAGCACTGTGGTCACGGTGCAAGGGCCAAGAAGGCCCCATCCCAAGTGGGATTTGTGGTGGACAAAGTGCCGCTAGGATGGGTTTTCTCAAGAGTACTTCGGTTTCCCCTGCCAATATACATTCCACTAAATTTTCCATCATAATCACCCTGGGCCTCTACAATAGGCAAATCAGTGGCCACTGTGCCGAGTGTACCCAGTTGGACTCCACACCCCAATAAGCGAATTAAAACAAAAACAGGTATGCATAGTGGTATCATTATTCAACAGGCAGTCTTTTTTTTTTTGTTCCATTTCCATCACCGGTTAGGTCTTGATATCACATAACAGAAACTGAAATGTATATTGTGTTTTTGTTCAAGCTGACTTGGATTATCCAGAAACCTATAACAAGACTGTATTTTTCGCAATCAAGTGTTGTGCAAATTCCAGGTTCCATTGACGCTGCTGCCAGTGAGATCTGAACTTATTTTAAGACTTTACATTTCAGTGATGAAAGGTATAAATGGTAAAGTCCTGTGCTTAACTAATAAAGCACTATGCCATGAATGCATATAGGGGAGTGGATGTATAGATCCACATTTTCTTGACCTCAGTACTAATTGGATACTGCTTGAACACCTGTACCAATCTCCATGAAAGTTGGTAAGAATATAATACTACATGAAGGCATCTCAAAAAACACATAAGAAATCCCTTCAATCAACAGTACCAACATTGGAACCTTTCAAATTTCTTAGACATAACCTTAATATTGCTTGAATGTCTATACCAATCTTCATGAAACTTTGTATGTATATATCATGCCACCTGAGGCTATGTCAATGGTGTACATGATAATTGCCTTTCATTAGTAATACCAGCACTGTAGCCTCTGAAATTGAGGTAATACCCCATAATATTACTTGAATACTTCAATGTATATCATCCCACCTGAGACCATATGAATGGTGTATGCGAGAAATCCGTCATTAGTTCTACCAACACCACAGCCTCCAAAACTGAGGTAATAACTGTAATATTACCTGAGTGCCAGAACCAATAAGAAACTTGATATATATATCATGCCATGTCAACAGTGTATAAATCAGTAATACCAACACTGAAGCCTCTCAAACTGCATTGTTTTATTGGCTTCATTATGCATACATACCAAAATTTTCTGTATACTTGCTGTATCGCATACTAAAGTTATAGTGAAAGGAAAGTAGGCGATTCTTTCTTCACGGTACTTTTCTACTTCATATAATACTTTGATACAGAATTTATATTGTGAAAATGTTTCAATTAAGAATTTATTCATCAAATATTATAGGCATGCCCCCCCCCCAATTCAATAAGTACTTGGGGGCCCCCTATACACACACAGTTTGGCCTCCTGTTCGGCCTGCACAGTTGAAGACTGAAAGGCAAAACTGATGTGTGGGGTGGCCAGCCAGCCAATCTTTTGGGCTGTTGGCCTGTAGGAAACCCACCAGTTCTACTTGCAGGACATAGCATGTGACGTGGGTGACTCAGCAATATAGGCTGGAAGAGGGTGACTGTGGCATGAAGCCTGCCAGTTTATCTGCGTATGGGAAGGAAAGGAAGAAGGCAAACTGTGAAAAGTTTTGCCTGTAAGGTCGATCGGAAGGCCAAACTGTGTATGTATGGGGGGCCCTTACTGGCTGTTTTTCAGACATTCATTTTTCTTTCATTAATATACGATATAAAACTGATGTGTAGTGTAAAATACACACAGAACTATGAACAGCCCGATTTTCTGCGATCTTTCAAATGTTCTCCTTAACAACCCCATTTCAAAACAATAGATTGCCTACGACAATAACAGGTTCATGGTGTATATTCCTACACTTGATCGTGTAACATTCTGAAACGTCCAAGCTTCAAGATGCAACAATATAAAACATAACCTAAAAATAACATTTTGCAGGCGTTTTTACACTGACTAGACGATTATGTGGACATGCATATTTTTATCAGCAAGCATCGTCAACATGTTGACCAGCGACTTCTTTTTCACGGATATATCCGACAATGAGGGCGCATATAATTTGGCTACCTCTTTTGTTACCTTCGACATTTTTACCACCGATGTTATGTTACCTTGTCAGTTCTTCAAAACATTCACGCAACACTTAACTGTATAACAATAAAATATCCTAAGTTCTGTAACTGTTCACGATTTCGTTGGCAAACTATTCACATGTCTAACGGAACTTAAAAACAACTTGGAAAATGATTAACATTTGCAACTCACTATTCCATATCAAACTGGAATTCGGTACACCTTCAAAAATCACGTATTAAACATCAAGAATTAACATACTGAGTTGATTCCTGCAAAAACTGCTTCAATATCGACACAAAATAATACTTCTTCAGACAAATACTTCGGCACAAACTCAACTTCCTACCACTGCAAATGCCTCAAAATGGCTACCTACGTAGATACCAATGATGAAACACGGCTCCTAATTGGTCTCCAGCGAACACTGTACAATATAACACATTTCCATCTCCAATCATATTGTTTGTCGCTTTATGCGTGAAGTAATTTCAATATCGTTCGCTAGGTGTCAGCAAGGACACAATGGAAGAAAAGTGGTAGGAATTGGAAGTAAATTGTAAAATTAGTAAATAGTGCACCACTAATACTAAATACATATATAATTGTATGCTATGTAATACCGTATAATTTTTTTTAAAGTAACTGATTTAATATGACAAGGCTATCTAGACCAGATGGGCAGAGTTTGCTCCTAAGGTGAGGGGCTAGGTGGGTGTTTCATTCAACCTTTCACTGTTGAACGATGATTTTGCAACTCTTTGCTTTGCACGATTCATTTTGTTTTAGGTGATTCACTATAACGTTGCATGGAAGATCACAGACTTTTATTTATGGTTATCCCTCTTGAGAAAAAAGTTTCGTTAGGGCTGATGAAGTATTTGCTTCAAAAAAAAAAAAAACTTTCATTTAATTATGAAGTGAGGGTCTATTATATTCGCATTTCTTTCGTCATGGGGTCCTCTTCTTCCTTGTCCAAACACTGCAAGTGGGCAGGCTTTACGATCAAGGTTGTGGAATGAGCCAATGAGAAAATCAAGGTACAGTAAAACAGTTATTGAGGAATTATCAGACAAAGATTTGATTACATAGGTATTATACATTAGGAATAAGATTATAAAATTATAAGCAACAATATTTGATATTTATTGATGTGATTATCACGGCAGAAATGGTAACTGACAGTTGTGTACATTTAACAACTTTCTGTATACTTCACTGTTACAACTTCAGTTTTTTATAAAACCAACCATATTAGTTTCACCATTTAAATTGCTCTGATACACATTATGGCACTAATACAAAACTTTAAAAGTACAGAAATGTTTGATACAGTTCATCAAGTGAATTGCAAGTCAAAGGCAAAGTTACTTTACAACTGGTGGTTTACTGCCAATCAGTGCATGGCATCAAATACCTAAGATTCACGACCAGTTTTTTTTTTCAACTGAACCCTTGCAGTCATAATCCTTATGTAGCAACCTTTCTAATGAGAGGATGGATTTCTTTTATGAATATGCTTCGCCTTCTTGTAAAGTCCATGCATTGTACATGCAGTATGTTATTGAAAATTCTTCCATTTGCACTATATACAAGTCATCTGTCAGTCAAAGCTCTGGACAGTAGATCATGCCTATCATACTTATGCTACAAAGGCAACTTACATCACTTCAATGGTTATAAACTTCAGGACAGCCATTGCCTCTTATATTTTGTGTGTCTGGCTTTGCCTTGTCCTATACTGTAAACATATTCATTCTTATGATTTTCTATGAATTCTGCTTGTTGCCAGCGTACACTGGTGTGCAGCTTGGAAAATTTCCAGTGGTGCATGGAATCTTGTTTTGTAGGCACTACAATTTCAAAAGGTGGGTGTCTGCTGCTAATTCCCAGGCAGGACAAGCATAAGTCATTACTGATCTGATCAATGCATTATGGAGGGTTATTTTAATGTTGGCACTTAAACACTCGCTTTTGAATAGGGAGTCGATTCTAATAAATGTTCTGAAGGCCCTGGCTGTGCCGTCTCCATGTAACCTCATATCGAAGATTACACCCAGAGATTTTACATGATTCATGAAGGGGATGTTCTGTCCATTCAATGTAAGATCATTAGGGGACCTAAGTCTGTGAGAAAAATAGAGGGCCTCAGTCTTATCGTCATTGATTTTCATGTTCCAGCACTCGCACAATATCTCAACAGCACTGATACCTTGCAGCAGCCTCCTGAGAACATAACCCTCTTTGCAGTCTCTCGCATATATACAGGTGTCATTAATAAAGAGACCTAAATAGACACTAGGTGTTCGGGGCGTATCGTTCTGTGGGTGTGTATACTGTAGAATGTGGGGAACAGGTGGAACCTTGTGGCTCCCCTGCTTATATATCTCTTGATGCAGACATTTCATCTTCAGCAAAGAACAATTTTCCCTGACAAAGGAGAGAGCTAATAAGCTCGATCAGAGTGACCGAAAATTTTAAGTTACTTCATATAACAAGTCAAGTTTCCATGTTGTATAAAGGCCTTTTCAGTAATCAAGGATACCGCAGATGTAGACATGTTACTGTTGAAATTTACACTGACATGGTCCATAAGCATTATACACTGAAGTGCCATGTTGTGGCAGGCACAGACACCAAACCAGCTTGCATTAACTCTTTGACTGGCGCGAAGGGTATTTAAATCCCACCCCTGTCCTGGCAGGCCCTTTAAACCTTATGTCGCTAAAATGCATGTAGTTACTTTTTCCTAAACAACTTCAACAAAAATTGGTTTTTAAAAACGAAATTTTCAGGAACTAATTAAAATACAATATATTATGCAATAAATGCCTTTCCATACCTCTTTATTAGTTTTTCTTCGTGTGATAAACATTGAAACATGGAAGTTTGCAGAGAGCCACACCACAGCCTGCACACATGATACTTGTTTCTTTTCTAACCTTGTGCTTAGCACTCACGCGACACTTTCTCAGGGCACCATTCTTCTTATTGTTACTGGGAGGAACATGGACCATTTTGTGAATTTTCAAGCCACCCTCTAGACGATTTACTGGCTCTTTCACTGGTGGCCTTTTCAAGGTCGAGGGCGGAGGCGTGACTTCACTCTAGTCTGACGCAATAAATTC